AACTGAAAGTCCTCCCAGTTGATGTCATGATAGCTTCTGTACCAGACTAGCCGTCTTCTAGGGTTAGCAGTAGATTCAAAATTTGGACAAAACTGCAATATTGTGGTTACTTCCTGAGAATTGGTGGCCGATGTGTACCATAGAAGGAATGAGACTGTTAGTAAGAACTAGGTCTAAAACTTCATGTAGTCTGGTTGGATTTTGAACACACAGAAGCCACCCTTCAGACTCAAGACAGTGGACGAAAAATTGGTATGGTTGGCAGCCTTGTACCGCTGGAAAATTTTTGCAGCATTCCTTAGGCCCAAAGGGGTCCCTACAAACTCGAATAGGCCAAATGCGGTAGTGCTGGCTGTTTTTAGAATGTCTCCTTCCGCCCCAGGAATATCGTGATATGCGCGAGCTGGGTTGATCTTAGTTAATATATCGACATCTTTAAGACAGTTGGTGAAATCCTGAATGTGAGGTACTGACGCCCGTCAGTAGTGGTTTGTTTGTTCAGTGCTCTATAATCACCTCATGATAGGCGGTCAGTTAGATTTTCCTGGGAAACATGTATAATGCGAAAGTTCTCTAACTGTCTGAGGGGGCGGATGATAACTAACTGAAATATGTAAACAACCTAATTCCTAGCCATCTTCACCTTATCTGCTGCTAGTTCTCCGGGTCTTTCGAAAACATGGGGGCCTTGTGTTTCTATGCTGCATCATCTTGGGACTTACTTGAGGATTTTGTGCGTTAGGTGACGTCAGGTTTAGGAAATCCACCAGAGCTTTCCGTTGACATCAGGGAGTTTGTACCAAGCTCCAGGATGTGATGGAAACGGCCTCACCAGCCGTGCAACTAGAAGTTTCCTCCAACCTTTTGTGCCCACTGAAAATTTGTACCGTTACAAAAAGTCTACACCTAGCAGCCGTACATCTAGGCCTGCCATGGTGAAGACCCAAGGGAATGGCCGTTTGAGGCTACGATCAAGCGCTGTGGCATTTTGTCCCAATACCCCCGTTTGCCTTTTGTTAGCGACCTGTAATGTGGTCGTGGACCTTTGGTGTCCGTGCTCGACCTCGCTCAGTGAGAGACTACTCTGCCAGGATTTCTGCCTGACAAAGAATAAGTAACTTTTCAGGCACCTCTCCTCAGTAGTCACCCCGGGGAAGGGGCCGTCCGTCTACCCGTTTGCTAGAGGATTGCGTTGGCCAGTTACGTGGTTCTGTACATCTTTTAGACTGTGTACCATACTTCTGGTGATCCCATTGAAGTTGTCCCGATTATGGAAACCGTCTTGGTCCACCTCCTGATCTGTGTCTGATAGGTGACTTGCCTGCTTTGACCACGTGGGATTTGAGCCACAGCTTCCATTGGTGCTTTCATATTTGCCACTAGTTAAGTACTGTTGACGTCCTTAGATGAGCCTTGACTAGTAAAATGTACTGTCTCAGAGTGTGCCTGTCTCCACAATGCGATCCACTTTTCGAGCCGGTCCTGAGAGCGTCGGTTTTTGGATCCTGTGCGTCAAGCGCATGTTGGGCATGGTACGGCAGTGTCCGGATCCAACCTTCCTTAAGGATGGTTTCTTCGACCGAATTGTCTCTCGCTATCTTTCCTAAGTGTTTTAGGAGCTGGAATGATGGTGTATCTCCTTTTGACAAACATTGGGTTTGTTGGCTACCTGACACTGGCAAACGGCTTATTACGTCACGCTTGGGAGTGCAGTAAGCTTGTTCTCCTGGGTTGGTAAATAAGGGGTCACGAACGTCTTTACTAACTGAGAGGGGAAGTGTGGAGTACAGGTCTTTGCATCGCAGTTTCTCCGACTTCATAGCGTGATGGTCAGGGAAATGCTGTAACTGAGCAAACCAGGGCTCCAGGCCTCGCCCATCAAAGCCTGGTAGTTGACTCTTGTAAGCCATTAGGGTGTCCACTTCGGGTGGAACAGACCCTAGTAGTATCGGAATGAATGCCAACAAGCTTAAATATTTTAGTATTAAGAAACAGAAATAGTAATTAAGCAATTAAACAAGTTAGATAAACGAAAGCAAAGAATGTATATTGTCAGGCTCACGAATGATGGACCCAGAATTTCTGGCGAACGCTCAAAACAGTGTAATTCAAACAGCTACGACGTAGCAGGCAATAAAGCGGCGACAACATTACGTGTTTACTTCAAGCACTCCGGCGTGCAGGTAAGGCGGATAAGCCTTCAAAAGTACATTAAAAGTTATTCACCATCCAATGAAAGTCAATGGTGAATACGGAGCTCACAGCTGACCATGTAGTTGTGATGATTATTCATAGTACAGTATGTGTGGGCTATCTCGACTCCTTGTATCTGCTTACCTCGGTTTGATAGAGAGGGGTAACGTAGGGATTTGATCTAAGTTGAGCTAGCCTCAGGCCCACGTGGGTATCCCCACTAACCGACAGCTACCGATTAGTCGTCATCGACAGGCATCTAAGAATAGCTTGCGACGGTTCAGCAAATCTATTCCAATGATGGGCGTGGAAATATCAGATTGAAGAAAAATCCAATGAGTGGGCTTACTGAAACGTAGTTTGAGATAAGCATGCCTTTTTTAACAGGTAAGAGTCGGTTTTCCACGGGTCACTTGGAGACTGAGGGGCGAGTCACAATGACGTTCCTTCTTGGATGCAGGATGAACAATGAATTCTGTGACCGTAGATGCGGTAGACAACTCTCATTTTCATGCTGGTGAATTATGTGGAACTGCTGTTCCTGATAGCCGTGGTTCCCGTTAACACATGCTCACAGTTTAGGTGTTAACGGTCCTCATGATCTGGGGTGGTGGGATGATACATGGGAGAGCTGCTTTGTATCCTATGACCCGGTGCTCGGAGACCGTTGTGGAGTCATACACTTCCCCAAAATCAATGGCCTAGGGTCTGACGACTTTCGACACTGATAGTTTAACTGGACTCGCTAAACTGAAGGCACCCGGTCAAGCTTCCTCCCATTTGGCACACTGTCGTGTTACATTGCACTGCTCGTATTCGACTCTCTAGCCAGTTAGTTAGAACGCATCGGTATCTTGGTACAACCATCCAAATATACTATTCCATTTGGCTACGCTATCGTGTTCTTCCTTGGTCTCGTACTCGTGGGCACATAACAAGTCCGAATAACTAGTGATTGGTCTTTGCGTCTGTCAAGTTCGCACCTGGACAAATCCTAAACCGTAAAAGCTGCTTAGCAGAACTTCATAACTTTTGCCGGACTATTCCCTAACTCGATGTCATTGAGAATTTCGCCCAAGCGTCAACGATCTATGAGACCATTTTCTTCGGGATGGCATTTTTGAGCAGCTTTTGTGAGTAGCTTACACCAGGAATGAACAAATGTACTGTGACATACCCGTTCAATTTCTATAGTGCTGATCTCATGACAACATGGGGCTGAAAACGAGAATCCATTATTCCATGCCTCTGGGAACCGGCCTAGAAATACTTGAGCCATGTTGTAGAATCTCATGATAAGAACGGTACAAGGTTAGTTGAGTGCATTGTTGGTGAAACACGAGTATATCTGAGTTTTCCCACTTATGGGTACGAAAGTGTATGGCACGAATACATAGGAATTATAAATACGAAAATATGCGTAAGTAGGAAATTGAAAGAACTCACTAGTCAAGCTGTCAAACGCGACCCTTACAGGTGCAAATGCTAACCACAAACTTTCTAAAATTTCCGGATATCCCCAAGTGCGATGCAGACAAAGAACACGACTGTGCAGCTAGGAGTGAACCACATATTTATAGAATCGCAAAAATATTCGGCGATGCGCCAGCCGGATTGCTAGTAAGCCGAAAATTAGCTGAGAAATGTAGCACTGCAGAGCGCTTAACGGCCTAGATACTTAACAGTGTAGCTTCGGCTTCGCGATGCCACAGATGATACGGAGCCCAATACGAACATTGAATACCATCGATTTTGGAAAATTATCTGCCACTGCATTAGCCCCATTCACCTAATTCTCTCTACAAGTGTGACTGCAGCGTTATTTTGAAAGGAAAACAATGCATCAGTTGCCCAAGAATTCAAGAGATAACCAACCGATAGCACAAGTGAATTCGATAAAAGTATACACACTCCTTCTTAATATACTGCCACGTCGATCAGTACAGTATGAAGTTTAGTGAATCGTTCAGAATCTCACATAGAATTAGCCAGTCTTCGAAGCTGAAGCGAGAACTTTGTCAAAAGAACAATCTCAATGGTTTTAACAACAAAGAGTTCTCAAATACATTCACGCCAACAGATACATTAGTTTGACAGTGCTCAAGCTAATGCAACTTTTCCCATGTTGCACTACACATCGTCCATGTAGTTCAGAACCTTATGACGAGCTTTTTAGGGTATCCAATACGAACCAAACCTATTTAACATCAATAAAATGTAGTTTAGCCCAATGTAATATAAGCCACCCTTATGCGTACAACTGAACTTATTCACTCAGTAACACAATTTGAAGATTTCAAAGTATAATTGCCCAGCAGCAACTAGGCCCTAAAAATTACTTTAGAGGGAGCACCAAGAGCTTGGGACCTTAACAGAGGGGGCGGGTTATCGGGGTGAGACAATATTCCCCAGGGATTTTGAAGTCATGGAATACCCTCACAGTAGAGGCTACTCAGGCTACTTCACTAGATTTTTTCACTGCAGACTTGGTACTCGGGTTCATTTTGTACCTACAGGAGAAGTTGTTACTAATCTGCCTCAGATCCTTTTTTTACACATAGGTTTTAGGGAAGAGGAATTAGTAATCCATTGATTATTGTGGTATCAGCTCCTTCTTTGGACGCATTCAAGGAGGGACTAGGTCTCCATAGAGAAAACTACTACAGTGGTTAACGCAGGTCGAACTGACCGAATGCTGAAGCCAAGTACAAACTTTGTACCATCAATCATTTGCAGCTATTGATCATTGTCGGTTACTATCACTAATTGGCGCCTTTGAATCTGTCGAGATTATCACGCGCACAGTCATGACTCAGGGTTTTATGGCCAACCCCTCCGGCGGTTCGAATTCCAGAAGCAAAGAAGGACAATATGAAGACAAAGGAAAGCCTGCTGCAATCAGATCGAGTAACATAGTTGCTGCGAAGGGTATAGTGTGATTTGGTGTTAGTTGAAACTTTCAGCTGTCGCCGATGCAATTCGCACTAGCTTGGGGCCTAAAGGAATGGATAAAATGGTAAGAACATCGAATACCTTATTTGGCCTTAAGATACAAGAAGCAAAGGGTGACGTCACAATCACCAATGATGGAGCCACCATCTTGAAACAAATGAAACTGCTCCATCCTGCTGCCAAAATGGTAACTTCTGCTCTTTTCCCTAAGTTGTTAGTTGGTAGAGTTATCGAAGGCTCAAGATATCGAAGCAGGTGATGGAACAACCTCTGTAGTAGTCCTCGCTGGAAGTCTTCTCGATGCCTGCTCAAAACTCCTAAATAAGGGTATTCACCCAACATCCATTTCCGATGCATTTCAAAGAGCTGCAGTGAAAGCCTGTGAGATTCTTGAAGGAATGGCCATCCCTGTAGATTTAGGAAATCAGGAGGAACTAGTAAAGGTTGCAACAACTTCACTGAATTCCAAAGTTGTCTCGCAACATTCTGATTCCCTTGCACCTTTAGCTGTCAAGTCTGTTTTGGATGTTATCGATCCAGCTCATCCTAACTCTGTTTCGTTGGATGATATTCGTGTCGTCAAAAAACTTGGGTAAGTCTCACTGAAACTACATGACAGAGTTTGTACAAAACACGCTTGATTTTTTGGACTTATCTGATCGCCAAGGTTTTTCAGTGATGTACCATTGAAATATACATCCACCTATGTTCGCTTGCCATGTTAATTTGTCCATGTAAGTGTGGTGTATGTGAACACCTTTCATGCATGCAGGTTAGTATGGACATGCGACCAGGGTATTTAAGGTTATTTTCCAGTCAAACAAAATTAGTGTTACGTACAATGAGCACTTATATGAAGTAAATCCCGTATGTCCACCTGGTTCACCGCTTATCACTAGCTCTCACATAATCCACTGCTGCTTCAAAAACCATGTACTATTTTGTCATAAGGATGGTTAGAATAACCTGACCTTAAAATACTGTTGACGCATTCCAAGTACGAAATATGCTGTAGGTCAGTTAATCCCCTAGGCTGTGGTATATACACATGTTTCAACCGAGACATGCGGCTGTCACTTTGGAGATATGGCAGTTCATCTAACAGCATAGATTTTTGTTTAGTTACTTCACAGTTCCAACAAGCTAGTATCATGACCCCATTCTTAGCAGTTCTAACATTTTATAACTCACTGTTTAAGCAGTAAATTAACACATGTCAGATAGTCATAAGGTCTCATCGAGAAATCCCCTGTTGCACAGTGTTGTGCATCAAAGGGTGGCTTGAAAAAAGCAGCAATGGCAGATAGCTATTTATGGTTGGACTAAGTGGATGACTAGTGGGGTCGAGAGATTTACTTACACGGAAGGCAAATGGAGCGATGGTCAGAACATTTCAACGCGTAGTTTAACTTAGTTCGAACTAATCCAGATGTATCTTGAGTGAAACTTCTGCATTAGACCAACATTTAGAAGTCAATAACTTCAAACGAGAAAGTGTAGTGGATCGTAATGGCGTAGCGACATAGATATTTAACGACATTTGTCAAGGCCTAATAGGCCAACCAATGTGTCCGCTGGTGTATGAGAAGTGCATTTAATCACCTCAGGCTGACCTCAATCGGTTCAAATCTTCAAGAAAAGTCATCTTATGATAACAGGGAAATCGACCTTAGATTCTATGACTACTTAACGCCTGACTGCAGATGTGTCATTAAAATCACTGCCAAATCTTGTAGAGTCTGCATACCTACTGGTGCTTAGACCTGACGATATTTCTCGATATGCAGGTAACATTCAATGCGGTGGGTCAAAATATCTAGCTGTCTTACTAAAAGGAATGCCTGATGACAACACTACTTAAAGGTTTATTCAAACATCCATGGTTGCACATACGGCAATCTATTAGGTGAATTGTCTACGTTAAGTGGTGTTCCTCAAATATATCTACTCTCCGTTCAGACTAATTTTTATAGATGTTTATGGAGGTCTGTGCTCATCTGACTTCGCGGGGGTCGATTTCGCAGCACAAAACTCAGTCAATGCCAGTTACATATATATGGAGGCAAGTTGCATTTCTGTTTCTCTTCCGGCTTTGTATATCAGTGTACTACCACAAATTGTAGAAAATTTAACTATTCAATCAGCTATCCTAAGTCGGATGCTGTTACTGATTTGTTAGTTATGTTAATTAATTTTATTTACTTATGTGAAAGTTTATATAATTCAGCATTTTTGTATCAAAGCTTCCCTTTTTTAATTGTAGTGGGACAGTCGAGGATACCAAACTAGTCGATGGTCTTATACTCACACAACGTGCTGAATCGGCATGCGGAGTTAAAAGGGTAGAAAAAGCGAAGATTGCTCTTATTCAGTTCTGTGTTTCTCCCCTAAAACTGATGTAGGTTTTCTCACATCAATAATAATATTGTTCTGACTCTCAGATGGATAACAGCGTCGTCATCACAGACTATACACAAATGGATAGAATTATGAAGGAAGAAAGGCAGTATATACTCAATATTATAAAAGTTGTTAAGAAAGCTGGCTGTAATGTTCTACTTATTCAAAAGAGCATTTTGAGAGATGCTGTGAATGATTTAGCCTTACATTATTTCAATAAAATGAAGATAATGGTCGTTAAAGATATCGAACGGTCAGAGATAGAGTTCATATGCAAGGTAAGTCTTCCATAATGCTATACTGTAGTTGTTTGTAGAGAATTCTATACAGCTTTTCACTACTAGTGTGGCTTAATTAACCGCTATTGTTTGGATTTCTTACCTTCTAAATCTCGAGGATATATAATGCTCTTACTTTCTGCAGGGTTGAGTAGAATAATTCACGTTCATTCCTTCTGCCTAGAAATCTTTATGTACTCATGATAATTGCGAAGTAGTTTTACTGTTGCTTTCTTAAGAACTCTGGATTAATCTTCTATAGTATTTTCGTGAGGGTTTTCTGTCTTTCTACCTCCGTAATATCTTTCCGTTTAAATTGTGCTCGTCATCCAGTAATCTTTCGTTCTGTTTATGTGCAGACATTTGATGCTAAAAAACTACCGTCTTTTAAACAAAGTGGTAATTCAAGAACATCTGGAATATATTTCTCACTGCACAAATTAAATTTACTGCTTCACAAAACGTTATTCATAGATAAAAGATGAAGTGGTTGACTACTTCATTTGCCTGGTATATTTTTCGCCACCGAATTCGGGCACATATGGTGTGTAAAGTGGTCAACACATCCTACCACTTCACTCTCTAACATTAAACTAGAAATGATTGCAAACCAGTATGGGAGCATCATCTGATATTAGGCAAATGCGAAGCGCATGCCAAACATACTCAGGTTTCTGATCAACAAGTTCAGAAGACCCTGAATTTTGTCAACGTCTTCACCTAACAGGAAAACATTGCCTAGTTACTCAACCAGATGACCTCCAGTTGTCAGCTGAGTTAACAACTCCCCATAAGCCCTGACTCGGGTGCATGAGTTTGAGTAGAGACGTTTGATTAGTGTTATATGCTTTGTTGGTACTCTTTTCATTTAGGAACTGCCACAACACCACGGTTGGCTGAGGCAAATGCCGTATTCAGGTCAAGAAATATGGCAAGTATCGGTCTCTGGCCAGTTGGTATACCGATGTTCCAGAACTTGTCGAAGAGTTAGGAGTACGATTGATACACTCATCTAGGTCTGAAGTCTCTTGTTTTCTCGAGTCCCACTTCGGCGTTGGATAATTATGAACCGTAGGGTTTTGGACATAGTTAAACTAATTCCCCTGTGCTTGTCTCAAGAAAACGTTTTTCCCTTCGTATAAACTGGAATGACCAATGAAGTACACCAATCTGATTGTACTGCCTGTGTTTCCCATACACTGCCTGGTACTTCCGTCCGTCTACGTCCATCCTTTAAAACTTTGGTTAGCAAACTGTCAGTTCCTGCTGCTTTGTATCGTTTCAGGTTCGATACAGCCTTTTCAACTACATAGAGTTGGGGGACCGACATCTACGTCCCGTTTAGGTTCAGGCTGAATGTTTGGCAACAAGCGTTTCTGTGTGCCAATTGCACTGTGCTTCAAAGGGTCCTACCGAATGTTCTAGTCGCTTGTTCGGAGAATTTATCACCACCATCCTTTTCGGTGATGGTTTCACTCACCATCATATTGCTGATATTCTTAACAAACCGAAGTAGTTGCCGAATGTTACCTAGCGGTAATACCTTCTCCACCTCTCCCTTTCGCTACCCACCGCTGCCGGCTGTCGACGCGATGACTGTTGACCAACTTATGTTTGAGTTGTTTTTGCGCTTCACGGTTAGAGTCAGCTGAAATCAGCTCCTGGCATCAGTCAGTTCGGATGACGTCGCGGAAATCAAATGATGTTTGCTAACCTTTGGGTGTGGGTTACTAATTGTTTTTACCGCTATTTCTACAGCAAACCTAATATGACGCCAGGTTTCCTTAAGACGAGCATTACTGTTACGTTGAGAAATGCTTCCCTGACTCCTCTCTAAATGGGTACTTATCGTTCCTGCCTACCAGTCGAGCACAGGCTGCACTACCCCTTGTTTCCTGCTGCCAGTAAGGTGCAGACACGAGCACGTAATAGCGTGTGGTCGGAGTCTAAACAGTACTCTAGAATGAGCGGCAATCCTCTAACGACAGCATATGGCAATGTGCTCTATCGTTAGTTTGATGTCGGCGGACGCCATGTGATATGGTGTCTCTCCTTGTGCCTGAAGTTAATGTTGGCCGGAAACAAGTGGTTGTCAGAGCGAAATTGCAATAGACCATCACCTGTTGTCGGTTGGTTGGCATGGGATTCTATGAGAACCTCCTAGATTCCCCTCCGATTGGTTCAGCTTCCCTATTTGAGCGTTAAGGTCACCTTCCATGTTGACTACATGTGAACGTTTTGCTTTCTGTAACAAAATTGACAACTCAAAATTCATCCAAACGGCATTCGGTAGGTACGTAGGTGGGAATTGCGAATAAACATCGGTAGGTTCCGCGACTCTTCCTAGTCCTTACAGATCCATTCAGTCAGACAGCACGCAGGCGACTGTTGACTGGTATCCAGTCGAAAAGCGCACTTTCGACCCTACAGCTCAATGTTATGCCTACACCAGCGAGTCCGCAGGAGCTAGCCACTGGGTCTTGGGATACTCGTGAGGTAGATTTCGAAGATTCATTACTATTTTGAATGAGGTTAATTTAATAACCACACTGGGGTCCTGTGTGTCTCACGCAGCACACATATGACTTGAGATCTGGTAAGGGATTTGGCATAGATTTCGGACATTGAAATCTCTTACATGAAGTCGATAGTTTTGATCGTTGACAATAATCAGAGTTAGAGGTTGGGGAAGATGTATGAGGCTTGATATTGATATCAAGAGGTGAAAGCAAGGGAGGAGACATTCGAAGCGTGCGGGCGCTTGACGCTTCCTGGCTGCCCATACCGTGGAAGGCTGTTTCTTCTTAAGGTACCTAAAAGATAAGGTTTGTGCGACCACAGAGCACACGGAATGTTTGCTTGAGGCTTGTCACACCCTTTTGTAGATTATTTTCGAGATTTGGTTGTTCTGCCGTCGACATTGGGAGACCGTGGGATAGGGCGGAGTTAGATTTTGGGGGCCAACCTTTTCTAATGTGGCAATGCGTGGCGCTGCTGGTGGTCATTCATGGGAAATAGCTTGCTACTGTCACAACCCATTCAGCTAGCAGCCGTACGACTTCGCCCTCAGACCCTCATCATAGCGTAGCAATCTACACTGTAATGGTAACTGCTTTTTATCTAACCACTATACAGCCGACCTTCCGGATATGGTAGGACCTGGAGGCAACGGGCGTTCCAGCTGGTGTAGCTCGTTGGGTCATTGTGATATGCAAGTTCGACCACTACGTCAAGATAGCAGCTATCGGTACTCCCTTACATCAGACTTATTTGATAAGTACTTTTTACTAACTGCGATTTCATACTTCGTGCCTTATCGCACTTTTGTATGACCAGGTGTCTCTTTCAAAGGAAATCTTATACTGTTACAATTAAATCGCAGACAATTTCGAGAAATAGTCTGTTCTACAGCTTTTAAGTAAGAATTATGGACATCCGTTTAGGTTAGTTGACTTTTAATGGAAATGGTTTGGTTAAAAAGCATGAGCAAGGCACTTGATTTACCTACCTTGGTGGAATAATCTACAAAATCTAAATTCAGTGGTTCACACATGTTGTTCCATCATGACATGGTCAACCTTACTTCTATGTCAGATGAATCAGTTATTTACATCTGCATACCATTGTAATCAGTTGACACGTTTCCGTACTGGTGGATATAAACTCATGTAAGCAGTTCAAAATTGTCAGAACAGACACTTAATTGATAAAAACCAGTTATGCCCTTTTCCTCTGTATTATCGTAGTACTAAAATTTTATTTTTATGCTTGTTCCTCGAAAAGAAATATATATATATTTTGATGTATTTCCTTGTAGACTCTACACTGTATACCGATAGCAAGCTTAGATCATTTTAACCCTGAATATATGGGGTCAGCTAGCTTGGTTGAGGAATCGGAGGCAACTGCTCACTGTGTTCATATCACAGGCATTGAAAACAGAGGGAAAACTGTATCCATTTTGGTTCGGGGTTCCAACAAACTCATGATTGATGAGGCTGAACGTTCGCTGCATGATGCCCTTTGTGTTATTCGATGCTTAGTAAAAAAGAGGTAACTAAATCACAACTTAGTTTTTGGTGTGTTTCTTACTTTCAAAAATAATTCCCATCAAACAAAAAGAAATATTTCTAAACGTGTTCATTGTGAGAGTATTTCATAGTTTTTCCTTAAAAGTCTTTTACACGCCGTATACATATCATTCGTTTGTGCACTATTCACGTTCTTCTAGAGCGATGATCCCTGGCGGTGGTGCTCCAGAAATCGAAATTGCCCAAAAGTTAGCTGCATTTTCCAACACTACACCTGGGCTTGATCAATACTGTCTACGTGCCTTTGCTGATGCATTTGAAGTAATTCCTTATACTTTGGCAGAGAATGCTGGCCTAAATCCTATCCAAACTGTTACTGCACTACGAGCTCTTCATGCGAAAGGCGAGAAAAATGCTGGTATCAATGCTCGAACGGTGAGTAGTGTCGATTTCACATTCCTGAGTTTTAACTAGAGCTATTCCAATCGTTAACAGTACGCAGTTTACTTTGTCTTGATAATCAGTTTATAACTTTTTAAGTATTTTCTGTTTCTAACTCGGTTTCTGTGTCTGAAAACAATCTTCTCGGTTGCTCGTGACCTGACTATTTGACCATTCATATCGATTTTTGCACTGATACATGTCACATCAAGCCTAGAAAACCAATAACTAATCTAATTTCACAGTTAGGAAAGATGTGGTTGACTGTTAGTGGAGTCAGCTTCAATAAAGATGTCTCCCTGATATATAAAATACCAGGGAACCTGTTTGTCATGTCACAAGGTTGTTTTGTACGTAATCACTTAAGGTAGGCGACTTATTTTTTTTTAAAAATAATTCGTAATCATCTGAGACCGGAACAAAGTGCAAGACTAACCAAGAGAATCGAAGTTATTACACGAAATTGTTTAAATCCGTCTATACCTGTAAATTAGGTGTATTTTGTGTATTTTCGAAGCTATATCTAGTGATGAATTTAGACATTTTCTGACGTGGCGCCACCGACTTCACTCAGCGGTAAACACAGACCACATTGCTGGAAGTCATTGCTGGAGAGGGTCGGTAGTAGATTCCCACTCCTTCTGGAGCACGTACTTGGGCGTGAAGTTGTGGCTCATCGGTTTAGGGATATGAGTTTCAACCGATGGGTCACAAGTTTGGACACCACTTACCGAGGTTTTGGGCAGCCAGGTAGTATCAGCAACCCTCACACGCTATATATAGCTCATTGCCTACTGCACGAATGTGCACAAGGTAGCTGAGTGAATTTCGATTCGATTCAACTTGCTTGGACAGCGACTATGCAGTGGCTCGAGGGCGTGTATTTCTAAGACTCAATGAACGTAGAAAATTTTTAGTAACAAGGCCATTACGAGCGCACCTTGACATGGGATCACTAAGGCTACTTTCAGTTGGAAAGTGGCTTGACAGTTATCGAAACAAACCAATACCACTCATCCAAAAAAGCTTGGTGTTGTCTCTAATTTGCTGTAAAAACACCCTTAAAGACCGTAGTCAATTCTCAGAGAGTAGTTAAAAAGACCTAATGAATCTCAGCCGCTTCTTCTGAATTAATAGATGCACGTAAACTCATCCCTGCAAGTTCCAAGCACAATGAGAAGCTAATGCAATTCAAACGTAAACTGACAAGGAGTCTAGTCAATGACCCCAAAGGATGCTGAGCAGTGGAGGCTAAAGAGGCAATAGTAAAAGTAAATACCTAATTAGGCTTATTAAAGAAAAGGTAAAAGTTTAGTAAAATGATTGGGAAGAATGGGTCTACGATGAGCTAAACAGTTCAGCTAGCTTTTATCCCGTTGCACACTATCCAGTCGGGGCCTGAATTAAACATCTAGATAGCACCCCAAGACTTGCAACAGTTGAGAAAGCTACAGGTAACGTGAAGCGAGGAAGTGCAGTAAGGCCAGACGGACTAGTTCCTGAGGTGTTTGAGTATAATGGCCAAAGATTTTCGTCAAGTTACTGACTAGTATGTGGGAGGTAGATACCATCCATTCTAACTGATCTCAATCACTGGTTGTCCCAGTCTTCAAGAAAGGCGAGAAGAACTCTGATAACTGCAGAATCAGCCTGACGAATGTAGTATCTAAGATTCTTGGTTCTATAACCACTGGATGTATGAGTAAAGCTCGGGAACAGCAAACCTGGAAGGGTCAGTCCGGGCTTCAGACCTCCGCGTGGGTGTATGGGTCAGGTATTCACACCCCAGCAGGTCCTGGAGCACAAACGCAGCGACACCCGATACTGACTGTGTTTCTCTACCTAAAGGCGTTCACCTCCGTCGATCGATTAGTCTGTGTATCGTAATACCGGGGGCTGTGTTAGAGCGTACGATAAGTTGTCTGGTGAGCTGTTTGCTTCGAATGCTGTCCGTCAACGCTAACCATTCTCTCCATTCCTACTCATGTTTGTTATCGACATCCTTATGAAGATCTTCCTCTCGCCATCTTACATCACAGGGATTGATATAATCACAGGAGACTCCTTGGGAAATCTAGGGTACATGGATGAAGTGGTTCTGTTAGGTGAAGAAGCTAACAAGATTCGGAGTGACAGTTTGAGATACGTTTCTTGCCACTTAAGTCAAAACTGATGTCCCAGGACTAGTTTTCAGTGATGCCCCAGCTAACAATAGAGAATGAAGTGGTCTGGGGCTTTGATCACTTCACTTACTTGTGAAGTCTGGTCAGCCCTGGTCGTTCAGTCTTGGTTGTATTGTTCTCTGAGCTGGGTTAAACACAATACAACCAAAACCATCCACCTGAGCTACAGATATTCTCCACTGGTCGTTCAGTCCCGACGAAATCTCTTCACGGATGCAAAAGGCTCGATTGGCTTTCATCAATTTACGCTATCTGTTGCAGTGCCGCGATATCCAATTGTCAACTACGGGTCGAGTGTACTGCGCTGCTGTTCGCTCTGTTCTACTGTATGATTGAAACATGATAAAGCTTCTAGTGTTTGACTACCGTTGTCTTCGAAGCATAAGCCGTGTTTCATGGCGTCACCATTTAAGTGTAGAGTTTTAGGGAGGAGAGGGTAGCTAGTTGATGAGATCATGAACTCCCATTAACCTGGATGGCCGGGACATGTGCTATCCATGCCTCGTCGGGCAGTGTTGGGTGAAGTAAGTTCAAACTGGGAAAAGGCTTGGGGTGGCCGGAGTAAGACATGGCATCACTGCATGTAGTCTTCGACTGTTGGTTTCAGCCATGTAGGGAGATGCAGACTAGGCGGTTGGGGTTCATGTGACGACAGAAAAATTTGTTTGGAGACTGTAGATGATATAACCTAGAGTCGATGTCAATGGCGCAGATGTATCGAATTCTTTACCGCTGTACTTAACTCAGCATTTTCTCATTCCTCCTTCCTCTCTAACTACCGATTTCTCTTCTCTTTTTTTCATTTTTCATCTCTATTTTGTTGCTTGTTGTGCTGATATGAGGTGTGGCAGCTTAAACTGTTAACGCAGCAATTCGTGGTCCAATGTTTTTATTGACTAATTGATTGACTTGTGATAATCAGTGTTTAAAACCAATCCAAAGTAGTCAGGTACACCATAAAGATCACATTTCTCAGTCAGAAGGTATAGTCTAGTCTACATAGGGATAAGCTATTCAAGGAAGTTAGTCTTTGGTGATAAAACAGGAACTTCTTTCCAGCTTTTCGAAATTATACTCTACGCACTCAGAACCCAAGACAAGCTTATACTGTACAGTTTATCATCGTTATTACTGGTAATAAAATTTATGGCAATCTGAATTGCTGTGCATTTGAACCGGGTTTATAAACTGATTAGACGCTTTGAAAAGATAGTTTAGTATTGCTTAAATTCAGGAGCGAAGATCAATTCAGCTTTTCCACTCGTCTACCAATTACTCTGCGAAAGCCTTCAAATTATTTGTTCTTATATTACTTTCATGACATAATAGTTTTTAGGCATTTGTTTTCTCACCCCTCTTGCACAGATTCTAATCCCGCCCCATGTATGCTAACTCTGATTGTGTGGGTTCGTAGCAATGATTCACACATTGTTAATAGTTATCCAAACCCTTGACAGATAGAGGGCAGTTCAAATTGTGACCCAGCACTTGAAAAGTCGACTGTTCAGACCACTGGACCACAGTGCCATCTATTAAAGTTTGGAATGTCAGGCAATATTATAGCATCGTCCCAGTGGGTATGATGCAATTCCTGATGCATGGGAATGTTATTGTTGAGTGGCATGATTACTGTATTATTACTCATCACATGGAGCTTACTGTTTTATTTAGACGACCAGGAAGCCTAGTTACATTTTGGCTAGATCAAGATATTACTGCCTCAGTGTCTTATGAAAAGCGATTGCCGAACGTCCTAAGCAAAGTAGCTAGTAGTTTATGACAATACTGTATTGACATTCACAATCTTGACTTTAACCAGTAAGCATCATTTTTGTTCGATTTCTGTTTACTCCCCATCTTACAATACTCAATAGCATGCATGCCTTAGACAAGTTTACTACGTTAACATATTTTTTAAGCTGTTATTCTTCGCACCACCTAATGTCTACCAATATTTCCCCTGTAATAAGTTTGTTTTCTCATCTTTAGGGTGCTGTCGCAGATATTTTGGCGCAGAATGTAATCCAACCCTTATTGGTCAGTTACAGTTCTGTTACTTTGGCCGCTGAGACTGTACGTAGCATCTTGAAGATAGATGATGTTGTAAGTTTTTCCGAACTATTACTTCTAATGCGCAGTCTTACATTGAATCTTTTTGCGAAATGAAGGCATGTTCAACCCAAATCAGTTATCGTTTTCCTTATTTCGTTACTTGTATTTTCCGTATATATAAACTTTTTCAATTACAACAGCTGAGACGGTTTGTATATGTATCCTTATTGTATATGACATACATGATGTCGTTTATGTGGAGGGAGCTACGCTTGATGTTCACTATCAGTCAGTGGTGTTATCGGTTCCCATATGCGGTCCATCATGAGTCTCACTACCATCTCTGACTGTCTTACAGCTGGAAGAGAAATCCCCTCTAACTTTCCCTTGTTGGTGTTTCAGTTGTAACACCTAACATATTTTTCTGCGTCGAGTTTCCTCTAATATGATGCTTATCGAAAGGTAACGTATCGCGTGTTGACGTGGTTTCGAGGAGCTTTTTTCTAAATTGTTTAGTTCAAAGCACATTGCCAATTTTTTAATCAATATGATTGTCAATCTGCTTGATAAAATCCCACATTTCACTTTTATTTCCTTTCACAGATCAATGCTATGAGGAATTAAATGACGGTTTATGCGGCTTTGAAACGCCTGTGCTCAGAAAGTGGATCTGGTTGTATTTGTGAAATACATTATCTCATCAATCTGAAATTTTGTTTCATAGTGTTACTCGTATGTACTTTAAAGGTCTTTCGCTCTGACGTGAAACGCATATTGTCAGATGATACTATTGTTAAGTTATATTTTCGGAAACTAACTAAGCAGACAGTATGTGTATTAAAGAAATGTGTCTCTAATGTGGTGCCTGTTATGCACGTGATTCGCTTCAATTTCAAAAGCTTACGTCAGATCATTCTGTATCTGTAGGGCTATGACCCATTAATGTAGGTGCTTGTTTTTCGAATACTCATTTGCACGTTAACCCCCTTCTCCTTTCCTACACTTCAATTGTTGAGGTTTAAGCGGCAATTCAGAATCACCAATATCGCACAATTAGTGTAGCTTATTTCTTGAACTCAAACAGGTTTACTTGCCGTATTTCCCTTTACTTTATTACCTTCAGTTCCAAAAAACATATAGGTAAGCCCAAACGTAATTTGTTGGCAGTTAGTTCGTGAATAAAGATTGATTTAAATCGTCTGGAATTACTGGAACTGCATTTATTGTTAGATAGCAGTCTTGATTTTTTTTTATCTCAGAGACTGAGGGCGTAATTACACAATAACCCTCCATAATTGGACTTGACTTATTTCTTGTTGAGATACTGAGTAGTCACAACTGATTTCAGTTTGCCAAAAAAGAGGGATTTCGCGATATGCAATCTGTGGGAGTAAGATTGTGATGAATTGCGTGTTTCTCGTTAGGTATACGTTCCGTTGTCAGGATATATGGTGTTGTTGGTGTGGTCACCTGAACCCCCTCCCACCTTCCCCTTGCGTGACACACCGAGGTAGATGGTGACTTGGCATGCGTAGAACGTGTACAAGCCACATCAGCCGGTGAAGGTTTACAGCTTCATCAGTCAACCTGTCTATTACCCTTGGGCTGATCTCCACATTGCTCACACAGTGATTCTATGAAACATGAGTAATGCCAAGGTTCTCCCTGGTCTCAGCCATGTGAGACTGCCTATCCTTATCCTTGAAGTCAGTCCTAGCCGGAAACAAATGGTTGTCGGAGCGAAACTGCAGCAGACGATCAGCATTGGCGGTGGGTTGACATGGTGTTCCGACTAGTTCAGCTCTCCTACTTGAGCGTTAAAGTCACCTGCCATGTTGACTACATTTGGACGTTTTACTTTCTGTAGCAAACTTAACAGCTTCTGATCGGATTCATCCCTTACAGAATTAGAACTGTCGTTGGTGATGCGTAGGTGGAGATTACGAATAGGCATCGGTGGGTTCACGATCCTTTGAGGTCCATTCAGTCGAAGAGCACACTTTTTGCTCGACAACTCAATGCTACGTCTACACCAGTGAGTCCACGGGAGATGAATTTCGAAGATGCACTACTATGGCTAAATGAGGTCAGTTTAATAATCACACTTGAGTTCTTTATACGTGTCTCACAGATGACACACGTGCATAGTTGGTGATTCCAGAGTTTTGGCGAGCGATGCTTGCTGTCCGGTTTGACAGAGTTCGGACGTTAGGAGCTCATACATGAAATCGATGGCTGGCAGGGGTATTAGGAGACCAGGAATGAGATTTCGGTGACTTCGATCGTTGACGAGGGTTGCTGAGCGAGAGGTTGTGTAAGGCCTAAAAGACTTAATATTAGTATCAGGAGGTGAAAGCGTACTACTGGGAGCGTGCGGTCGGTTGGCACTTCACGGCTGCCCACACTGGAAGGCTGTTTCTTCCCAAGGTACCTAGAAGATACGAAGGTTTGTGTGACCGCAGAGGGCATGGAACATCTGCTTGGTGCCCGTGACACGCTGCCTTCTGCGGGTCGTTTTGAGATTTGGTTGTTCTACCGCCGAATAGAGAAAACCCATTCCGCTGGCATTGGGAGAGCGTGGGGCAGGGAGGCGTTTGCTTTCGGAGGACCCGATCTTTCCCACCTCCTATGGACGGTAGCATTAGCGTGGCACTGCTGTTCATCCAAGGGAAACACCCTACTACTATTACACCCCAGCCAGCAGCAGTGCGACGGTAACTGCTTTTCCTCTGGATACTATCTAACAGACATCTCTGGAATGGTGGAAACGAGTGTTCCACCTATTGTAGCTCTTCGCGTCATTGTGATATGCAAGTTTGACCACTACGTTGAGGTGGCAGCCATCAGGACAGTGCTATATGCGATAGTCTAATGAAATTTTAGAAAAGCTATTTTAAACACGGTTGAATAGACTCAATTAATTTATGGATTTGAAAGTGTTTAGGTTCATAATGAAGACGAATCGAGTGAAACTGCATAAAACGTAAAGGAAAGAACTTAGGATATCATTTAACGACGTTATTCAGATGAAATCTGATCAAATATATGAACTTGATATTTTGATACATTGTACACTCAGCTGGAAAAAAAGCTGTAACTACCAGCTAGTGACAGATTTTCGTCTAGTCTGTTAGTAAGTTGTATGAAAGTTTTGCGGTTGCAGTTCACTCAGCTAGCACGATAATCTGTAAGCGCAAAGAAGAAGAGAGGAACGTGAGACGGCAACTCAGCAGAGTGTACTCACATTTATTAATCAAAGGAAAACCGCAATAATTAACAAGGAGAAGACAGCGCAGTCTGCAAGTTGAATGAGTAGGGTTTCAAAAGCGTTACGAAATTAATTTCTAAGGTATTGCCATGTAAACATTGCAAACAAAGACCATGGAGATATCTCTGTAACCTATAGATATGAGAGTAGTTTCTGCAGTTCTAATCTGCATGTTACCTTTTTCAATAGTAAAGCACGACAGAAAGGCGACGAGAAACGAAAAATTATTCGTAGATGTTTAGAGTAACTGATTCATTTTGCATTTCCACAGGAACATATAGAAGAAGTTGCATATTCGATAGTAGATTTCTAGTCATCTACACTCGAGACAACTGGACCAAGAAGTGAAGAAGAGTGCGTGCAAAGGTAAAATAGACTCCTACGACACACTGACAAGTGAAGTAGAACAGGCTACTGGTAGGAGAGACCTGACAACATTGTATCAGATAACCAGGTTAATACCTGAAAGGGAAGAGATCAACACAGACTAAACCAATAAAAGATGATGACGGAAATCTAATTACGAAAGAAGAGAAACAGAGGAAACAATGGGCTGACCACTTCAAGAAGCTCTTGAATGGACCAACACCTGCACTTCGTCCAGAAATACCACATGAAGCCACAGAACTACAGGTGAACACAAGCCCTCTGACAAAAGTCGAAGTCTTGAATGCCATAAGGCTACTGAAATGCGGGAAAGCAGCAGGACCAGATGGAATCCCGCCAGAAGCACTGAGAACAGACGCAGGGACGACAGCGGACATGCTCATACCACTATTGCAGAAGGCCTGAAAGGAAGGAGATACCTGGCGATTGGAAGAAGGGCAACCTAAGTGTTTGCAAGAACTGGCGCGGAATCACTCACCTGTCCACCCAGAGCAAGCAAAATATTAAGCCGCATCATCCTGGAGACTAAAGGGTGCGCTAGATTCAAAATTACGACCGAAACAGGCTGGCTTCAGGAAGTACAAATCATGTGCGGACCGAATCGAAACGCTTCGCATCATCATAGAACAGAGTATAGAGTGGCAGTCAACTCTACACCTCAACTTCATCGACTTTGAGAAGGTCTTTGACAGCGTCGACCGACAAGTAATTTGGCAGGCAGTTGCTTCAACGCTACGGTTTTTGTGCCAAAAACATTTATCAGCCTCATTCAACAAGTATATGAAGACGCCACATGCCAAGTAACTCACAATGGGAAGCTCAGTAATGCTTTTGAAGTAAAAACAGGAGTGGAACAAGGCTGTCTACTATCACCGATGATATTCTTGATTGTAGTGGACTGGATCATGCAGCAAACAGTGAGGAACGAGAAGAGGGAGATACGCTGGACCGGCGAAAAGATCCTAGAAGATTTGGATTTCGCCAATGATGACTTGTGTCTGATGTCACACAAACTTGAAGATCTACAGGCGAAAACTAACAAGTTGACAGAAGAGGCAGGGCAGCGAAGACGGGACTTCAAGTGAACATAGAGGAGACGGAGGTGATGATGATACCCAAATAACAACAACAAGCTCCAATCACCATCAACGGGAGAGACTTAAAGCAAGTAGTCTCTTTCACCTATCTAGGCAGCATCGTTTCAACCACAAACGGCACAGACGAGGACATCAAAGCCAGGATCGGAAAAGCAAGACGGGCGTTCATTAGCCTGAAACCAGTGTGAAGATCTTCTGCACTCCACTCAGCATAAAGAACAAGATCCGGATTTTTAACACCAATGTCAAGTCAGTGCTTCTATGTGATGGTTCAGAGACTTGGCGCGCCACAAATAGCATTTCCAGCAAACTACAGATATTCACCAACAACTGCCTACGCTGACTCGTTACTGAAGATCAGATGGCCAGAATAATAAGCAATAAGGAACTCTGGCCTTCAACAATCCAACCAAGAAACTATCACCCAACAAATATGCAGAAGGAAATGGAGATGGACTGGGCATACACTGAGAAGACCGACTGCGGACATCACGCACCAGGCACTCGAGTGGAACCCAGATGGGAAGCGACGAGTTGGGCGTTCGTGGTGAGGGTGACAGAGGAGATCGTGTAAGAAATGAGAGCTTCTGGGCAGTGGTAAAGCCAGGTTGAAAAGATTACAGAGAACAGAGTGGAATCGAGACGTACTACTGAAGCCCTATGTTCCGCTAGGAACTCAAGGGACAAATAATAAAAATAAACACTCTAGACAACTTACTTCGTTCTATGAATCAAGCAGTAAATATTTATGACTGCAGCTGGTGAGATTTAGCATCCAATTGTTAGTGAATATGATAAATATATCTGTTAGGTGTGAGTAGTCCTAGTAGATATTTAGGACTAGGATGCTGTTGCAATTAATACAAGATAGACTTGTGAGTGTATGCGCATTATTTAAATACGATCATCTTTGTGGCTGTTCTGATATCAGGATGCTCCTCAGTCATCTTACCCGTTATTCATATAAGAACAAACTCCGTAGAAATGTGATTCAAACTAATACGAATACTTTGTAGCGACACAAAAAGAAAAAATACCAATCATAAAATAAGAAGTGAGACACTCAAACAGATTTCATATCAGACGGTTGCTGCAGTACAATCACCATCGGTTTCCATTCTTAGATATATCTAATAACTTCTGAAGACATGTGTGTGCAATCATCGGAATGGCACCCAAGGAATCTTGATTTGCAAGCAGAAGCTCGTCTAACACACCTATCCTCCACTCTACTGTGCCACTTCATACATTGACCACCTTTGTGTTTCTTTGAACTAGTCCACAGGCCGAAAAGTATTAGACTGCATGACAGTCACTCAGATGAAATGTGTAACGCATTTCAGCTAGCGTTTTAAAATGATATCACCTAGTCATTTACGATTTCCGTCATGTCCACTCACACATAAACGAACCTAAGGAATACCGATACAGAGTTTACATTGGATGTGTGAATTTTTATGGAAACAGTGGTCACTGATTTATCTAACTCCTTCGGCGTATATGGGCCATTATTTGGAGATGCAGAAAATGATTTCCTGCACGAAAACATCTTACACCCGACCTTTAATAGTCTACTTAACAGAGGTGACCTATTTTGGAGTATGTTGCAATGATTTTTACGGCAGAAATGGAATTTTCATCTCTAGCAGTACTACATTTATCCAGATGCATAAACCTTTCAACTACTTGCAACCATTAGTGTAGACAGTTTCTTGCTAATTCTGTGAAAATGGTTCAGACAATATAACATACTTAGGGACACTAACCACCAAACATTTAATTCCGATTTTAGTAGCCTGTTTTTGTGCAGTCAGACATTTTCCTTATGCCTAAGGTTAAAATGTCCTCCTGGTGGCAAGTATGAACCATGCAGAGCCGTCTCAAGAATTCAATCGCCGGCAAAGATAAAGAGTAATAGAGAAACTGTAAAGCGCTTCTTAATCCCACTGTTGATTTGAAACAATGGGGAGTGGTAGTTATATGATCCCATTCCACCTGATATGACCTTGTATCAGGCTTTCAAAATGTTCAGAAAAAACTCGTGAACACTCGTATCTAACGGATGACTACATGGTATAGTCTTACTTAACAAATCGAAGGTAGCTGTGATAACTTACGGACCTAGAAACAATAAACAGGGTAAATTAAGTATGTTATCTGTAACCACTAACAACAGAATCCAAAAAATGTATATCTCATCGGAAAACCAACCAATACTGTAAATATATTGAAAATAGTTACCTAAATAAAGTGTTATTTGGTTCAGTTTACTGCAACACGATTTGAAGGGTCAGATGATGTAATGACGGGTGAGGCTGAAAGTTGTCGTCCTTGCTGAGAGTTATCGATTTCTGAGGCGACTTTTAAGGCCACCCTAGCAACGATCGGAACCACCACTTAGGTTTCTTCATATCAACTGGAAAGGCAGATTTTCATAAAATAGAGAAGCCCAACTGGTTATTTCAGTTGTTGCTAGGGTGACCTTTAAAGCCATTCGATTTCTGTGTGGTGTGTATTTTGTGTTCTGAAGGCATATTTTGCGTATTTCTATAGTTTTCGAAACGCCGTTAGATCGTGTTTTATAAGGTCTGTTCATATGCAAAGTAATGGCTGCACTTGACGCCTAAGGTTGAAAGAAACTAGTGTTATTTATGAAGAACGATGTTCACAGATCATAGTTGTGACCTCAAATATATAGCAAAGAAGAACTATGATTGCAGTCTTCACTTTAAGTTACGTTATAACTAGTCAGAAAAAGAAACTGTTAACAAGATCAAAGGACAATGGATACATTCATGTATGCGGCTGTAAAGTCAGTGTTTACTTTTGATGCAGTGCCTTGTTAATAAGGTGGGATGGTTATTGCACAACATGTAACAAACTGCTTCAGTTGAACTTTACCTACAACCTAGAAAGAAGTGTGAAATCCCCATAATGCAAATTATAGAAGCATTATGGGTTATTGGGAACTGAAGAAAGTAACTACCTTCCATACTTCGTAAGACATATGTAAGCTCATATTTAGAAAGAAATAATATTGTTCAGCTCACCTAAAGACATATGAAGTTGATTGCTGAGGTACGCCAGATGAAATGACAGAAGACGGATGAAGCCAGCGAACGTTTGCATTCGGAGCTCTTTTCACATGAAACTTGTCAGTTGTGCTTGATTTTTGCACGATAAAAATACGTGCATGTGCAATAGTTCTTGCTTTGCAATGAAATTATGATGAAGCTGAAAGATACAAATTGCTATGCAGCATTCAGCTAACGTGAAATAAGGCAGCTGCTACTTTTGTTCATACAAATTTTATGCTTTGCGAATATTGACATAAATTGGTGCTTACTCAGGTTGCCTTTCAACTATCATGTCCATGTCAGTGGTACATTAGTGCACTGACGTATTGCTATTCAACTCAGGTAACAGTGTTCAAGGTGCACAGCTTACCTAGAGAAATAGTTAACGTACACCTCACTGCCTTTTTACTTGATGTACTGGTATGAGCTGTGGCATCTCGGATCGTTACGCAGTAATACCTGGTCATATGTTGATATTCATGATGAGAACGTACATGCCGTTTTAGAAGCATTTATTTTATTTGACTTAGACATGAAGGTTACCCAATATGTACGCCTGTCATAAACCCTGATGGTGACGTGATAAAACTCAATTGTTGGTATTACGCAACAGAATCTGGAATCCCAAAGTAGTTGGTTTACTTTGTTTACTAGGGCAATTGACTGTATGTCTCTGAATAGATATCTCCAACTGTTTTCAACTAGTTGTCCGTGTGAAAAACTTAATATTTTAAGCGATGACACAAATCTCTTACTGTCTCCCAGTTTGAGTGCACGCATAAATCGAATTTGCGCGACCAAAAGCTATACATGCATTGACTTCATTTAGACTAATGCTTTCGTTTACTTCTGCTAATTCCATCTTATTCAGTAATATAAATACGAGTCAGCCACTTCAAAACTGTATTTTAACATCATAAAGTATACGATGTATGCTAAGGAATACATTCCTAAGAGTGTCACAAACGCACTTTGGTATTGCGATGAGTACGTAAAAGTGCTTATGCGCACGGTATGTATGAACAACATTGACGGTTTCCTATTTAATCAGTAACGAGCACCAACCCTTTTATTATGCGCAACGAAGTGAAAGTACAAACGAAATATAAGTAAAGATATATTTCAACTCAAGTAAGGAATTTAAGTACACGTTAGTTTCCGTCTAGCAGTATCTTCAACCAAAAGGCTCTGGATACCACAGTCATTGAAGACAAGTCAGGGTGACAGTAGCATCATAGACCACTGATACGCAAAAAATATTAAAAAAGAATACTTACTTCGCGTGCCAAGGAATCTTCTGTAGAATCCAGTAACCTTAGCTGAGAATTCACCTCCAAAAGCACATACTTGACAACTCCTGGGAGTTATCTTTCTCAGAAAATACTTTCAACTTTCCTTTTTGCTTCAGGCCATGTCCAACTATCTAAACAAATCATGCTGATAACTGCGAGACTACCTTTCGTGACTTCAACTTCATATTTTGTACATCCTTCGCTGTGACAAGTTTATTCAACTCATTCCTGACATATTGGATTACTTCATCTGTTGAGGATGACTGCTGTAAAATTGGTTTCAAATACTCCTTCTCTTCCTCTGTTAGTCGCCTGCTCCAAGCATCACAAGTCATAAACGACTGCGTACAGGGGTGATTATGAATCATTCTATATGATCTGACGGTATACTTATTGTCGTTCAATGCAAACCTAAACATCGATGGACAGTCCCGAAATTTCGACCTAAAGACTATTCTCATAAATAGGAGGAATTACGGTTTCTTAATCAACCCAATACCTTGCGGTTTACGGTTCACTCCAAAAGTACACTTGAATACCACAAAGGTGTACTTAAAACAACTGTCACCCGCTTCTTTGCTTTTCACATGGACGTAGTGAGTATGAGTAACCTATGTTCATCATAAAACACAACTATCACATACCTTCTGCAGCTCATTAACTGCATCCTCCACCTCCTTCCAGTTGAAGAACGACTTTGACAGCACCACTAACTGAAATGCCTCAGTCAAGTCTACTGAGATTGCAGCACTATTAGAAGCTTGGGATGTGCTACTTGAAAACACCAATTAGTCAGTAAAAGATAATAATAAAATGCAATAGCAGGGATAACAACGAAATTAAGATTCTACCATACTTAGTAATGTTACACAACCCATTATGCTTCATTGAAAGGTTGAAACTTACGGGCTTATAGCCATTATCAGCTTAGTTAATATGCAATAAATGGTTGTTGACGGAGTAGTTCGCACTGCAGCGTCTACAATTCGTGGATCACTACTTCTTGTGGTTTTTACCCTGTGTAAAACAGAAAAGACAGCAAAAGGTGGCAGTTAAAATGTGAAGATTCAATTAGTCCTGAGCACCTCCCACTCACATATCAAGCAAGTATCAAGCCGGCGTTTAGAAGATTCAGGCGAAGTAGCCTGGACCACTGTCTCAGGAAGGGCATTCCAGACTTTAATAACTCTTAGGTAATGGAAGTTGTGTTTGATATCTAACTTACTATGTTCAAGGCTAAGATTTTGTATGTGTTACCTAGGATTGATGCTACATCTAAGATTTTGAAACGATGGAGCGGGCGTCCATAGGTGCTCAAAATACTGCGGGCAATTATCGAGTCTCTTTTTAATCTATATTCCAAGGGATATAGACTTACCTCAACCAGTCGTTCCTATGTTTCAAACCTGAGTCATCGAACAGATTCGATCAAGCGCCTCCGGATGAGTTCTAAACTTAACTTGTCCTTCTACAGAGATGTAAGGAAGACGATAGTCCCGAACTCCAGGTGGGACCATATGAAGCTGTTGAAAATTTGGTGAAAACATCTACGATCAAGTTCTCGGAAAATCCACCTAAGGCTTATTAACACCAGGCTTTCACGAAATGCATTTTCGTCACAGTTGGCATAGGATTTTGGGTTTTGAGGGATTAAAACACCAAGTCCTTCACTGTCTGCAACGCTTCAAGTTCCATGCCGTTGTGGCTATATGCATGACATGCACTATGTTTTACGCGTAACATTTCGCCCTTCTCATGATTAAGTATGAGCCCATTATTGAGGTTAAGTCCTCCCGTAGAGAAACACCCTTCCTCACTTTTGATTTATTTCCATAGTTCCATATCATCGGTAAAAGGGATTTCAGAAGAAACTTGCTGAGGTTAGCCGTTTATGCATATGTAAAAAACAAGAGGCCTTAGTGCTAAACCCTGGGGAACTCCAACAGGACGTTGTTTCTGAAAACAGAGAACCACGCTGGAACTCTAAATAAACAACCTCGTAAATATGAAGATAACCAGTCAATGAGTGGTGGTCTGATCAATAAGGCAGGCGTGATTAAACCAGCCAAACGTCTAACCCAAGTCTAGATAAATGGCACGAACCCTATTTCGACAGTTGACAATACTAGTCCGTCTACTGCAGTGAGCAGATGAGTGATGCAGGAGTGCCTTTCCCTGTATTGTCGCGGCTTTAAAAGTTTATCACTATACGGTGGTCCCTCATTCCACCATAGATGAGGAATTCCATTACTATGGAAGGTACGGGTAAGAGCGTCACCGATCGGTATTTCTTCAGGTTGCTTCACTGACCTTTGAAAACTGGTCATATCACGCCCAACTACCAAGTATCGAATAATTCCCTTGAATTCGAGGATCCTTAAATAGCTTACTTAAAAGCTTAGTCAAATAGCTTGTCCTCATATGGCGGGAATTGTTCGCATGCATGTTTAAATTATTCTGCAAGTGCGTAGACTACGCGGGTAGTCTTATAAACTCTGCTAGATTGTCATAATTCAGCATTATTCCAGCATTTCTAACCAATGCATTGACCCGCATTATTTTCGCATTCCCAAGGATTATTTCAGCACTCCTGTTTAATTAAACAGAACACTTAAGTGTTCGCTTATAAGCGCGAATTCGGACACAAATGCCGATTTCCACTAATTAACACACCAACAAAAGAAATAAGGTCTGCCAGTTACCTCCATCAGATAATTAAGATCTTTTAAGCAGCAACAACCCTAATATCCTTCACCACATTAACCGAGCTTAACACTATTAAGTACAATGAACCCGCTTCTTTTTCTATCGCTCAGGGTCAACTTTGAAGGGTAGTGCTGCATCCCACATTTCTTCAAAATCAATAGCCTAGGATTTGACGAGATTCAACATTGATGCTGACCTTGATAGTTTAACTGGACTCGCTAAACTGAAGGCACCCGGTCAAGCTTCCTCCCATTTGGCACACTGTCGTGTTACATTGCACTGCTCGTATTCGACTCTCTAGCCAGTTGGTTGGAACGCATCGGTATCTTGGCACAACCATCCAAATATACTATTCCATCTGACCACGCTATCGTGTTCTTCCTTGGTCTCGTATTCGTGGGTACATAACAAGTTCGAATAACTAGTGACTGGCCTTTGTGTCTGTCAAGTTCGCACCAGGACAAATCCTAAATTGGTGAGCCCGACGTGATCAAATATCCCGACCAATAACAAATATTAAATTAGTGGGCTCGTCCCATTTTATATTTGTATATTGCTGTCACTTTGATAACCATTATATATCCACATACAACCCTTTCTGATGTCTGACCACACTCCCGAGCTTATTCGTATTAGGCCGACTACGAACACTATCCAACTCGTACCATATTGGCCGGACAATGCAGAAACATGGTTTCTGTACGCGGAGGCAGATTCTCGAGAACAGGGAGTCACAGATCCTCATCCTCGATTTCTTGCCGTCATACGTTCACTACCGCGGGAATTAAACAGGCATGTTACAGCATATATGTTTGGTCACGAAGTAAATGATCCGTATGCACTTCTCAAAGCCGCACCCTTGAATAAAAACTATCTCACGGATCGCCTGCGCCTAGATGAATTACTTCGTAACATCGAGCTACGCAGCCACTCAGCTACTGAAGTCCTCGCATGCATGCGAGAAGTAATAGGCGCACGAACATTCGACAATGGCCCTTTCCGGGAACTATTTCTCTCGAAACTACCACAACCGGTGCAAACCGTGTTTGTGACACTGCAGTAAGTCCCACTCGATGATCTGTCAGCCTCGACCGATAAAATACTGGGGATCTCCAGCAGACCCGTCTATATTCTGCATGCGACAAGCCAGGATTCAGAGGTGACTAAGCTGTGCAACTCTGTTAAACAGTTGTTACGATCTCGAAGTCCTAGTTCACAGAAACGCATCTTAGCGCATCGCGACAACTCGTGTGGTTGTCCAAAAACTAAACCCAACGGGGTGGAAAACCCTAAGTGGTGCTCGTTTTCATGACACTTACGGAGACGAAGCCAAAAAATGCCGGAAACCGTGCAATTTTAACAAGGACACAAACTCGGGAAACTGTCACTCTGGCACGTGTTCACTGCAACCGTAGCCAGCGGAAACAGCCGTTTGCTCTACGTCACGGGCATTAAAACGAAGGTTCGCTACCTCGTCGACACCGGCGCAGAAGTTAGCGTTCTTCCCGCGCCGACAAAGGAGCGTCATTATGACCCATCCTCCAACCTCCAAGCAGTTAACGGCAAGGCAGTCGTGACATTTAGGAGACGGTATACCTACCTCAACTTAGGTTTACGTAAACCTATTCGCTGGATCTTCTCTCTGGCTGACGCTTCCACTCCCATTATTGGCAAAGATTTGCTAAACCATTACGATTTACTCTTGGGTGCTCGCCGCCGACGTCTGATAAATAACAACACAAAGTTATCTAATTGCGGCACCACCTATTTAGGTCCAAGTTTAGCCCTCGTTAGAACCAAACAATCAGGCGACGCGTCCTACCAAGCAATTTTGGAGAAATATCCAGAGTTGCAATAACCGAAGCACACTCTTCTGTGCATAACCAGCAATGTTATGCACCACGTCACAACCACAGGTCCACCTGTGGCGTGCAAAGCGCGCCATCTAGCCCCCAATAAGCTAAAAATGGCGAAGAGTGAATTCAACCACATGCTCGAACTGGGCATATTCAAAACGTCAAACAGTCCTTGGGCATCACCACTGCATATGGTTCCCGAAAAGGATAGCAACGACTGGCGTCCAGCCGGTGACTACCGAAGGCTTGACGCCAAAACAACTCCGGGCTGCTACCCTATACCTCGTGTTCACGACCTGACTGCGACCCTATGTGGAATGGACATTTTCTCCAAAATCGATTTGGTCAAAGCGTACAATCAGATACATATGGCAGCAGAAGATATCGCAAAAACAACCATTATTACTCCTTTTGGTTTGTTTGGATTCCTGCGCACGCCATTTGGTTCTTGGAGTGCAGCACAAACATTCCAACGCTTTGTGGATGATGTCTTCTGTGGTTTAGATTTTGTTCACGTCCACATCGATGACTGTCTAATTGCAAGTCCAGATAAGGAAACTCACCTCAAACATTTGGACGTCGTATTCAGTAGACACGGCATCACGGTAAACTTGCAGAAGTGTGAAATAGGAGTTGAATCACTCATCTTCCTTGTACATACCACTGACAACAAAGGTATACGCCCACTGAGGGATAAAGTGGAGGCTACCACGAACTATCCGGGGCCAACCACTGTCAAGCATTTCCTCACTTTCAATGGCCTGGTAAATTATTACCGAAGGTCTATCCCCAACTGTGCCTCTGTCATGAGACCACCAACAGATCTACTTCGAGGAACTACGAAGTTCATGACTGTGGACAACGTGGCTAGACTTGCTTTCTCTAAAGTCAAGGAAGCCATTTCAAACGCAGCCATGCCTGTGCATCACGACCCCAATGCTCCTTTTAGTATTGCTGTTGGTGCATCTGACTCAGCAATTGGAGCAGTTTTGCAACAGTTGACTGACAACCAGTGGCAACCGTTAGCCTTTTTCTCGAGGCGGCTGCAAGACGCGGAAACAAGATACAGTACATTTGGTAGGGAACTCCTAGCTATATACTGTTCCGTGCGCCATTTTTGACATCCGGTCGACGGTCGTGATTTCATTATCTTCACAGACCACAAACCGTCAACCTTTTCCCTTAGCTCGGCGTCCGACAAATACTCCCCTAATGAATCACGACAGCTGGATTACATTCCCCAGTTCACGTCAGACATCCGCCACATTTCTGGAGCAAGTGACTCCGTAACTGATGCACCATCTCGAATAGCTTCGATAAACCATATTTAGGGCGTTGATCTTGTTGAACTAGCTCGGTGTCAAAAAGAAGACATTGAGCTGCACCATGAGTTGTCGTCCACAACTCTCAGGCTACGACTGTGTCCATTAGGATCAGACAAGGATACAATTTTGTGCGACGTCTCTGCTAGTCAACCACGCCCAATAGTTCCAAAGAGTTGTCGACGCGACGTCTTCAACACGTTGTACAAACTGTCCCATTCCGATGTAGGAGCTACCTTTAGACTTATTGCGCAACGTTTCTGCTGGTCTAGGATGAACAAAGACGTTAAGCAGTGGGCTCAGTTGTGCTTAGCTTGTCAAAAGTGCAAGGTCATGCGACACACGGAAAGCTCTTTAGGCTCTTTTCTAGCTCCAGGCATGCGTTTCGACCGCGTCCATATAGATATTGTGGGACCCCTACCAGAATCTAATAGATGTACCTACCTTTTCACTTGTGTTGACCGTTTCACACGATGGCCGGAGGCAGTACCTATTAAGGACGTTACTGCTGAAACGGTAGGTTTTGTTTTCTTAGAAAGATGGATCGCGAACTTCGATGTCCATCTTATGTCACAGCCGACCATGGGTGCCAATCTGAGTATGGATTATTTCACGCTCTAACTGCACCTTTAGGTTGCACCCGGTTCCGAACGACAGCCTACCATCCATAAGCAAATGACATGGTAAAGCGTTTCCATCGACAATTGAAAGCTTCCCTTTCAGCTGCAAATATGCCTTAGTGGACCGAGGCTCTGCCTCTAGTCCTGCTACGTATTCGTGATGCCTTGAAAGTTGATGCTGGATGCACCCCTGCAGAACTCGTCTATGGGACCACTCCTCACCTACCAGGTGGATTTGTTTCCTCTTCAACTTTCAAACACGTTTCCGACGGGGCACCTTACGTGACTGGGCTTACAAACGCAATGTGTTCAGATAGGCCTTCTCCAGTTAGACCTCAAATGACTGATGTCTTCCTTCACCCCGTTTTACAAAAGACACCATACGTGTTTATTCGCTACGACGCCATTCGTCGACCACTTGAACCACGTTACGATGGGCCATTCAAAGTGATCAACCAACACCAGAAATTCTATATAATTGAGCGAAACGGATGTGAAGGTACTGTTAGTATCGACCGTTTGAAACCAGCTTATTTCGGAGGCAACCCCATCATAAGAGACGTTTCAGCCCGTCGTAGCCGACCGATGGATAGCTCAATTATCGTGATTCTTGACGACGTGCCTGGTAATGCACAGTTACAACAACCATCAGTGCAACAGAAAGTACGATCAGGTTGAACTGCCAGGTTCTCAGGGTGTTTGAAGTCGTATTCGACTTAGTGGTGTGAAATAAGACGTGTCAACCATATTATGTTTCTTAATTGAACGCTTTTTCGGGGCATCATTTTTCTTATTTACCGGCAATGTGCGAATCGTCGTACATTTTGCCTTTTCGTGTCAATTGTTGTACTACTACTACTACCTGAAACATCTTTTTAAAGTTAAACTTTATTTCGATATTTTTATGTATCAATGATTCCCATTTTTGCGAAACCTTTCCGTGGTATTAAAGACTTTTATTTATATTCTAGGTTCAACGAGCACTGGACGAAATGTCGAAGGAAACTGAGGACCGCGATCGACGTACAATTCAAACTATCGTATTTTATTTTTCAGTTGTCACGACACCCTAGAATAAGTTCAGACAGCCAGGGGCCACTTCACGCAGTGAGCCCATCGGTAGAGTTCTACCGGTGAAGAAACCACTGGGTTTTTACTTCCGGCTGCTATCGCCTCAGGGTCATCACAAACCCACTAGTGGGGAGTGATCTGTAGCGTCATACACTTTCCCAAAATCAATAGCCTAGGATTTGACGAGATTCAACATTGATGCTGACCTTGATAGTTTAACTGGACTCGCTAAACTGAAGGCACCCGGTCAAGCTTCCTCCCATTTGGCACACTGTCGTGTTACAT